TTAGACCCCGATCCATCTGATTCACATAGCATCGTTTTTCGCACCTTCCTGCTCTAAATATTGTCCTGTATCTATGAAGAAGTTGGAACTATTGACGTAAGAACGAAGGTTGTGACATTTTGAGGGGCTGTTTAGAATAGCTCCAGATTGTTGGCAGCATTCATGAAAGGGTCTCAATACTTCACCCTAGTGTCAACTCAAGGGCCACTCTCATCAGAAAATAATATTTGTTAGGCGCTATGTGCACGGCAAGAATTAGAAGCTGTGCAAGGGCGACACCTTCGTTACTCGAAAACCTTCCGTCCTTAGTTTTTTAACACTTGTTACAGTCAGACTGTTTGGTACCCTCATATTTTCCCATAATCTCTCAGAACACTACTTGGGGCCGATTGACATGTGTCTATGGCCGCCTTCCGTCTATAGCATTGCGGCACGATTGTAGTGGCAGCGCTTCGTTGCGCGTCGGCGCACGTCATTGCGAATTTGAACGCTGACTTGCGAGATGTCATCGCTAGTGCAAGTTCCTTCTCGAGTTTTTCTTTTCTTCTAAAGTATGGGCAAAGAAGGCAGGCAGGAAGGGTATTCGTAACTGAGACAGCAATATCTCCGAGACAGAAACACCTATGTTAAAATCGAAGATACGGCCGTTTTTCAAAAATCGCTGACTTTTACATTTTTCATTTGAAAAGCATTCCCACTGCTTCACAATGTTCGCAGTCTCATTTTATTTCAGGATCTGTAGGCATTGATAGAATGGTGCTGTTTTCTGTCAGTGTATCATTCGTGTTCGCGATCTTGTTTCGTAAAATTGTATCGACGTGATCGACGACGACTCGAAGACTTCGTCATGAAAAACCCCAACTGCTACGAACTCAGCACAAGATTTCAACTCGTCGAAAACTTACGGGTTCTCAAGGTATGGATTAGCAACATTGATATCGTTTTCCTAGTCTAGACAAATGGAACTATGAGTTCTTCATAGGAATTCTCCAAGCCACTGCAAGAAAATATGAGACCTCCAGCGCAGCAGGGAGTGTTTTAAAATCCAGGGCAACGGACAAGCATGTCGTCAAAGCTTTTCCTCAACGATTGCCAACATCCGTCGAACGAGAGGAGGGAGTTTGACAATACTGATCAGACCCGATCATGCAGCAGAAGTGCCGCGCCGCTGACTATGCGGGGAGCTATCAGCGTGGGTCTCCTGACCTACACCCGAAATCTCTTGATGGAAGATGGATAAATACATTTGGTTGACTCATAAGCAATGGCGTTTTCCTCACACTGGGAATTTCGCGCTAAAAATGAATTTTTTGCCTTTGAGCTTTTAACAATACTTTCGCATAAAATTTCTGTGCCTTTTCTGATAGCGGCCGCCTTTGTTTTTTTTTGGAGATTAAGTTCCGCGTTGATTTTTAACGTGCTAAAATTGGAGTGTTTAGATCGAAAATTGGGGAGTTTTCGGAGCGAACTCAATCTTTTGCAACATATATATATATAAGCGAAACCGCATAAACCGTGTGTAGCCGAGAAGATACTTATTTTGGAGAGGCCTATAGCGGTTCTGGGCAGGAGGTGGTGTAGTGACAAGTGGCGCGCTTACCACTCGCGCGGTCCCGGGTTCGAATCCCGGGTCGACCCCTGCCTAGGCCAACCAAGCTCCTACCGAGGCCTCCGGGGACGGTGAATTGGTACCAGATTCGTCTGGGAGGATAAAACACTGACTTGTACATCGGCTGGCCACCGCAAGTCATTGTATAGGCCACATCGCATTCAATAAGCCACTACGATTCTGAATGGAAGTAGAATGCGTGCCGCATCCCACAAAGGGATTGATTAACGGCGAAGACTTTATCCTTTATCCTTATAGCGGTTCAAGCAATTTGGTATTTTTAACTTGGACTCCACAGAAGAGCATCTAATCTAATGCTCTATTGAGTTCAACTCTGAGAGCCTACTGGATCACCTTCTTCGCGGAGCATCACCTCCACTCGAGTGGAGAACTTGGTGGATGGATTCTGCACGCAATCGCTTTTTAATAGAGCGTCCTATGCATATTCAGAAGGTCTGAACTCCCGTCTTCAAATGTTTTGAGCAATCTCAAGCCTCCCCAGAGAGCACCGTTTCTTGTTGTATACATCACATGTTCTGAGCTTCCTCTGCTGTTGAGAGCTCAGATCGAGCGCAAAATGTTATTGTCAAAAACTCATACTTGCATCGACCCGACATTCCATTTCAATGTTTTAGTAATTGGCAATGATCAATAAAGAAAGGGACTGCAGTCATATGATTTTGAAGAGCAAAGAGGTATCTATCAAAAAAGCATAGAATGCATTAGGATTGATTCTTATTTTACGTATAGAAATTGTGTAGAAAAAAGGCATTTTTATGGGTCAACACAACGTATACACTCACTAGGAGAGGGCTAAGCGCTGGGTACTAATTAATGGCTCCGGCTTGCAATCTAGCTGGCCATGGTTACGTTTTCGATCTGCGTAAACGTGTGGTACCCACGTCGTACAAAGTAGAAGAGCTCAGAAAAGTTGAGCTGCACTATTTCTCAAGTTCATCTTTTCGAAGTTTGGAAAGTCTTGCGGCAATATTTCCCATCTCTCATGAAATCTTATTTTTGGAGAAAAGGAACTAATTCAAAAAAGGCGAATATGAAGGAACAACTGAGGCGATCTCGTGGCCGTACTTCAAAATCCAGTGGGATACTTAGAGCCCTGACAAGGGAGAAAGTCTTATCTTATCACTTACAGATAATAAAGAAAAAAAAAAAAAAAAAAGAAATAAAACAGATAATAAAGAATGCCGCAGTTGGATTATGTGCGTGGATGCCATTGCCTGGAGGCTTACTACTGCTAACATTTCACTATTTTCTACCGAACACCGAATCAGGTCAAATCGTCTATGCTTCCTTCGACCTGATACTGTCGTTGTGAGTTTGCTCATTAGAAAACACTCTATGACAATGCTTGAACATAACCATTGAAGCTTCATGCATTTAATCCCTAATGAGTGTTTTCCTCTTTATTTGTTGGGGAAACTCTAAGAAGTCCTGAACTTCCAACTGGGAAGTCGTCACGTGACTTGTCTCTTTTGATGTAATGAAAGGAATTACTCACCAATGGGTAACGGCTGCGTGTTCTCGCGGAATCCCCTCAGATTAGTTCCTTTGATCTACTGAACTGTCACGAAACCCCATTTTCAAACTGTTCTTATTCTACCTAGGCGTCTAAGATTCCAAGTAGAGGTGAACAAAAAGCCTAGTTTACACTTAATCGTAGCGGCTCTACCTGAGTTGTTACCCTTTACTTTTCAGCCCTTATGGATTTAAGGAAGTACGCCATTGCACGATTTAATCTGTATACTTGTACTCAAATAAGATGACGACTGACGATTCTCACCCTTTAGTAAGAACCGCTACTCCAGAAGCTTGTTATGTACATAAAATGCATTGCGCATTGCATCCAATTGAAATGTCGGTGAATCACTTTCATCCCATACGGAGCGTGTTGTTGGAGTGCAAAGCTAGCAAGGTCTTGAGTCCGCAAATGATGGTTTTACCTGCACCTCGAAAAAAGACCGCTTTTTTCTTTAGGTAAAAACTCGCGAAAAGATAAAATTTCGGGAAGGCTAATAAATTTTCGGGAAGGCTAATAAGTTCTCGACAAGAGAATGAAGCGCTAAAGAAAAGCGTGCTATCATTGGCCTCATGGAAGCGAATGGCGGTACAATCTTCCAATTTATTCTCAAGCTAACTAGTGGTGGCAAATTATGATAAGCCTTTCAGTTCTCTTATTTAATGAAGCAATTGTGCTTTTCAGGTCGGTCGCAGGACTACTAATATTCTCTTTGTTGGCACTTGGCGTGACACCGAAATGGAGCTGCGGAAACATGTGGTTACGAAACAAAGTCGAATATGGGGGTCAAGAATCTCGCATGGTCGTGACGGAAGAATATTTCCGAAATCTCCAATCAGCTTGGAAATAAATATTTCTGATGAGCTAGAATAGACGCCTTGTCAATACTCTGAAACACTGATGTATGGTCCATAATAATAAATTGAGGCTAGAACAAAGTGATGTAGCGGCAAAAAGTGCTGCTTACCACAATAGAGCAGAACCTCTGCTCCGTTCCCGACTGCGTCCACTACCCTTCAAATCGCTCTGCGACTTTCTTTAATTGAAATTGAACCGGTTAAAATGAATGCGTAGCCAATGCAAATGAGCAAATTGCCCCACTCCGTGAGCTGTGTAGGCTTCAATCGCTATTGTCTCCAAACCGAAGGGTGCGACCTGTTAAAATCACCCAGTGCTACTCAATTCTGCGATATTCTGAAGGCGAACCGGCCGGCATCCTCAACGATTGGTCTGCAATCTGGAATTAAAGAGGCATTTGATGATAGCTCATAACTGCCTTTGGTTTTCCAGCCTCCGACGAAGGCGGCTGAGCCGAAACGGCCAAGTAAAGCAGTGTCAATATTTCGGTTGTGGTTTCAACATATACAAACGCGGATAACACGATGTCAAGACTCATTGAAGGTCCGCCGTAGCCGTTCAGGAACAGCTCAGTTGATACCACCCTCGTTGGGGTGTAGAAAAATTGTTTTTCGGTTAAACTGAAAGAACTGAAGGCGATCTCGGCGGTGTAATAGACAGCCCATTGCCAGGAAAGCGTGAGCTGCGAATTCAGTCCCTATATACAGTCAAGTGGTCACGTCTTATGTAGGTCTCAAGAACGCATGGTTAAGGGTTTGAATCCTCAATGTCTGTGCTCTTTTGCATTTGATCTCTATGCACTCGAAATCGTATTCAACTCTTGCGCTCGATGATGTGGCGTGTGTTGTGATTCTGAATTAATGGAACACTGATGACGATTCCAAGGAGAGCATCATCTTCTTCTTTTACTGCTTTGAGAAGCTCATTTCTCAAAACAAGAATGCACTCCAACGAATGAGTCGGCCCTGAAGGGTGGCTTCATTTTCCAAACGACATGGCTGAACTCGAAAGCATATGAAATTGTGCGCGAAGGTGAGTACAGTTGGAAGAGCTTCCCCACGACGACTTCACGTGGCAGTCTTGTCGGAGGTGATGATGGCGAAAACACTCTTTTATCACTCGCATAGTTTTGGAAGATGTTCTGATCCGAGGTAGTGTTTTCGCGCCCTCTTGGGAGTCTTCTACTCGCGTTACATTCCACGATCACCTACAGGAGTAGAAAGACGCTGGCAGCTTCGCCACATCACGTCATGACATTATCAAGCGTAAGAGTTACGCAAATCCACTC